TACTGCTCTCTGCTGCCACCGTGTGGAGAATGTTCCGTACTGCAACCCGCATGTGGCGCATGCGCAGTGGCGCGCCGTCGACCAAAATTGTGTGTACTGCAGAACGGAGTTCACGCATGCGCAGCGGCGCGCATATTTTAGTGCTGTCTGCTGCCACCAGGTGACGAAAGTCGAGTACTGCAGCACGGATTTGGCGCAGGCGCTGTGGCGCGCCTGTTTCCGTGCTCTCTCCTGCCACCGGTTGACCAAAGCCGGGTACTGCATTCCGAAATGCCCGCATGCGCAGTGGCGCGCCTGTTTTCACGCTCTCTGCTGCCACCATTTGACTAAAATCCGGTACTGCAGTCAGGAGTTTACGCATGCGCATTGGCGCGCCTGTTTCAGTGCTCTCTGCTGCCACGCGTTGACCAAAATCGGGTACTGCAGACCGGATTCGGCGCATGCGCAGTGCCTATACCGGGTTTGCGCTCTCTGCTGCCATCCGTTGACCAAATTCGGGTACTGCAGTCCGGAGTTCGCGCATGCGCAATGCCGCGTTCGAGTTTGTGCTCTCTGCTGCCACCCGTTGAACGAAATGGGGTATTGCAGCCTCGACTTCGCGCATGCGCAGCAGCGCGCCGGTTTCCGTGCTCAGGAAGTGCCTTGGCCCCCCGCCCCCCCCGCTGTCGGCAGGTGCTCGGGGCGCAAAGCGCGGAACGGCAGCGCCGGTGCCGCCCCGGACACGTGCCAGCGGCGACCTACGGCAACAGCGTTCAGTGCTGCCTCTTTCCCTCCTCCAGCGGCTGCACTGGGGCCGCGCGTGTCCGTTCCTGTCCCGGGGATGCCGCTGACTGCAGCTGCCTCGGGCTGGTACGGGGCGTCTCTGCCCGGCCTGGCGCTTCTCATGGCTCGGGGGCCAAAAGGGACGGGCGGAGCCTTCCCGGCAGCGGGCGGGAGCCGCCGCGGCTGGAGCTGGAGAAAGAAGTGTCTGAGCTGTCACATTCTCCCGGCAGGGCCGAGTACAAGAGCTGCGGTGATTCCCGGGCCCTCGGGGCCCTGTCGCATCTCTTATATGTCCCAGTCCCTTCCTGCCCCTCTCCTGGACCTCTCTCTTTTCCATGCTGCTGTTATTTCTGCCCCCCCCCCCTTTCCTATATCTCTCCTTGTCTTTAGTCTTCTGCCCTGCTCCCCCTTCCTCTCTCACTTTCTCTCCTTGTCCTACTGCTCCATTTTCTCACTTGTCTCTGTGCTTTTATCCTACCTCTCGCTCCATTTTTAGCCTTCTGTCTCTGTGCTTAGCGCTGTCGCTTTTTAAATTTTCCTTCTATGTCTTTTAGTTCACTGTCCTTATTTGGTGCTTCCTTAGTGCCGTCACTTTTGAAATTTTCTGTCTCTATCTCTGTTCTGGTTTGCTGTCCTTGTGTCATTTTGTTCATTCCACCTCATTTTCGCCTCTGCTTTTTCCTGCCCTTCACTTACCCCAACTCCCCCGCCCTCCCTGCCTCTGGCTGGCAGCCTCCAGCCATCCCTCCCTCTCTCTCTGCCTCCGGCAGGCAGCCTCCTTGCCTCCCTCCCCGTCTCCGGCAGCCGGCCTCCCTCCCTGCCTCTGGCCTCGCAGCCTCCGGCAGCCTCCCTGCCTCCAGCAGCCTCTGGCAGCCTCCCTGCCTCGCTCCCTCCCTCCCTCCGGCAGGCAGCCTCCCTCCCTCCCTTGTTCCCTTCCTCTGGCAGGGCAGCCTCCAGCCATCCCTCCGTCTCTCTCTACCTTCAGCAGGCAGCCTCCCTCCCTATCTCTCTGCCTCCAGCAGGCAGCCTCTCTCCCTCCCTGCCTCCCTCCCTGCCTCTGGCAGGCAGCCTCCCTCCCTGCCTCCCTCCCTCCCTTCCTCCCTCCTTGTCTCCGGCAGCCGGCCTCCCTCCCTGCCTCCGGCAGCCTCTGGCAGCCGGCCTCCCTGCCTCCAGCCTCGCAGCCTCCGGCACCCGGCCTGCCTCCCTGCCTCCGGCAGCCTCCAGCAGCGGCCTCCCTGCCTCGCTCCCTCCCTCCCTGCCTC